CGCGCTCCCATTGGCCGCCCCGCCGTCAGCTGCTCCTATTTTCTGCTGTCGCTTTTGGCGCTCGGCCATCCAGAAACAAACCACTTCGATGACTCCTAATAGTTATCGCCAGATGTACTAATACACAACAAATCACGGTCCGGGAGAGGGGGAGAGCAAATGAGTTCCTATTTCGTGAATCCCACTTTCCCGGGGAGCCTGCCCGGGGGCCAGGACTCTTTCCTCGGGCAGATCCCCCTTTACCCGGCGGGCTATGATGCTCTCAGGCATTTTCCGGCTTCGTACGGGGCAAGCAGCCTGCAGGACAAGACTTACACCTCACCTTGTTTCTACCAACAGTCCAACAGCGTCATTGCTTGCAATCGGGCTTCCTATGAGTACGGAGCCTCTTGTTTTTATTCGGACAAGGAAATTAGTAGCGCCTCTCCCTCCGGCAGTGGCAAACAGAGGGGGCCGGGGGACTACCTGCACTTTTCTCCCGATCAACAGTACAAATCCAGCGGCGTCCAAGCCAAAATTGTAAATGACGAAGGCACCGACCGGAAGTACACGAGCCCTGTTTACCCCTGGATGCAGCGGATGAACTCCTGCGCTGGTAAGGCATTTCGGTGCAATCAAGGGCGGGGGGGGTGGGGGGGGAGGAAGGAAAAGTTTCTTTCCCCAAGATTTTTTTTTTTTTTTTTTTTTGGTTCTTAGATAAAGTCCAGACTGCTGGGAAGACACGGTTCCTGCGGGGCTAATGCGTAACATGAAACCTTCCCAGGTTATTTTAGAACTGGCACGTTGGCACCCTGGGAACGGTGGCCGAGAGCCCAGCTTGTGGGTTCACTGGTGAAAGTTACCGGGGAATCCTTAGGAAGCAGGCAAAAAAAAAAAAAGGTGGGGGGGGGAAGGATCAGAGCAGTTTCACCACTCTCCTAAAGCCACCCCAAAGCCTCTGCTCCACTTCTTCATTGTCAGAGAGCGATGCGGGGAATATGCCCTCTGTACTGAGGATCCAATGCATTTGTGGCACATTCCTCCTCGCCCCCCTCCCCCAGCTCATTAGCCTGTAAGTATTGGATATTGAGAGCACGTTTCTGGGGCCGTGGGCGCACTTCCATGGCATCGCGGATTTTCTCTGACTTACAAGTGAACTTCACAGAATTGAACTATTCTGTCCAGGAGTCGTGCTGGGGGCGGG